GACAGGAGAAACCCCAGTCACCCCCACGGACATGTGCTGGGTCATGGGCAGGGCAGCCCGCATAGCTGGGCATCCCAACACTGACCTGCAGGCATTACTCTGCACTGGCATGGCATGGTGTCGGACCTGGGACCGCTTGTCCAGCACTTGAGCAAGTGCTTCTGGCAGCAAGTGTGTCCTGGAGCTGGGCAAAGCCAGGTTGTCTCCTCTGCCACCTCTCCGTGTGTGTCTTGAAACCTCCTGTGCCAGGACAGAAAGTCTCCAGCTATTCTTAAGAAACCACCTGTGCCCATCAGCATTAGCTGAACACCATTAGCTGGACCCAGCTGGGGCACATGCAGCTTGTTGGTGATCCATGGCTGTGTTGCCCCATCACATTTAGCTTCACCAGATTGCCCAGGTATCTTCTGGGTTGCTCACCTGGGTTGCCCATGCAGATGTGAAGCCTGCAGACCCTGAGCTCTCCACCAGCTCCTCAGATGCTGGGCTCTGCCCATCGCCCTGCCCACACCTCGCCCCACGTGCTGGCAGGACCCAGGGAGCGACATGCTGGGCCCAGCACACCTTCCCCTCCCATGCACGTGAGAACCCCCCCTGGACATCTTGTTGTGGCATCACACCAGGTGATGGCTTTATTTTAAGTTTCCTCGTGCCCTAAGCTTTTGTTTAAAAAAATCACTGCTCCTCTTGAGGTGGTTTCCCAGACATTAGGTACGGCCTCACTCGCTGCCCGTCCATCTCTGCCCACGCTTTTACACCTTGCACATTGCTTGGGTGTGCGTTGCCTCTTCATGCACTGGCATTTACTCCTCATTTTGCCCCTTCTTACAGTCCCTGAGAAGGTTGTGGCAACACAAATAGCTTCGCCTTCTTCCTTTCCCGCAGTGGCACGCTTGTCCCGCTGTCCTGCAGGCTGGCTGCCCTTGTCTTGGCTAGGGCTGGCCCAAGCTGAATGATGGTGGCCGACCATCTCCAGGTAAGTCTTCCCAGTGCCACTTTAGAGGCTGGGAAGTGTTCAGTGCTACAGGCTATGGTTAGACACCCTCCCTGGTGCAGTGGAGACTGTCTTCTCACCAGTGGCATCTTCAGATGTCTCATCCAGGCATAGCCAAATAGACCAGAAGGACCTCATGGGCCTTTCTGCTCATCCATTGTCCTCCCTTAGCTCAGCCTCCTTATCTGATAACAGCGCAATAGGAGGCTGCATTTTTTCCCACACCGGGTTAGATTTTCTGCGAAATCCACTTCATATAGATTTATTATATTTTTATTACTGCTAACGTAAGGGCAGGGGAGCGGCTGCCCAGAGCCAGGCCACAGGGCCACGCTGCAGAGTCACAGCTGCTCAGAAGAGCTGGAGAAAGGACACGCACCCAGGGCTGTGCTCACAGCATGCACCTGCCTGGCCTTGTCGGTGGAAACCCTTGATGGACTTCAGCCAGTCACGCGTTGGTCTAACCACGCTTTCAGCCTCAGGTGGGGTTTTTTTTGGCAGCATGTGGCAATGAGCTCTGCAGATTCATTTTGGCTTTATCAAGCAGAAGAACCCTCTTTTTATTTGGTTTCTCGAGTCCCTTGCTGGCACCTGGCCCTTAA